CGAGACGAACCCATTATCTTCCGACTGAACTGAGGCTACCGCGTGTCCCCGATTTTGTTCCGAGGTGGCCCCGGGACGACCCTTTGAGCCCGAAACGATTTCGAGATTGCCCCAAGATGACCCTTTTCATCCTAGTTGACCCCAAGATTGTGTCAATACAGCTCCAATGTGACTCTGATGCGTTCATCCCTTCTGCCCTTGCTCTTGGCTTGGGCTTCTAGGACGGATGGGGGTGCTGGCCCTCCCCCCGTATCGTCTTTCTTCTTCTTCCTTCCCCTCGTCCTCGTCGCCCTCGTCGTCATCGTCGTCGCTATCCGCCTGGCCCACTTGGCCCCATACATAGCAGAACACCGAATCCCTGATACAAGCCGAGCCCAAAGTTTCTATGATGGTGTCGTGTAACAACGAGCAGCGGGGATTCGATTCGCTCACTATCCGACGGAGCAATGGCAGCAGGTTTCACGCAACATACCCACGCAACAATTCCCGACCGAATTGTGTGGCAGCAGTATGTGCTTTGCAACAAGAAGTGTGCCAACTTCCGTGTCCCACTGTCACCGTGGTTCACAGAAGAGAGGCGAGAAGGGTGCTATGTGAAGCGTACGTCCCGCTGCACGTGGGCAAAGGCCCAAGCTCCACTCGCCCCTCCTCGCTTTGGTTCCTTTCGTCCTCGTCCTCCTCCTTGTCCTGCTTCTCGTCTTCATCCTTGCCCTGCTGTCCGCGGATCACTCGCGATCACACAGGCTGCTGTTGTGCCCGCAGAGCCTCTCAGTAAAAATACAGGAGTTGTCGCCATCCACTGCACCCGTCAGAAAGGACTGTCGTTTTCGGTGGCTCGCGCGTTAAGGGGTCTGACTATGGCGGGTACGATTCAGACTGCACGACCAACAAAGAGTACGCTAGACGTTCATAAAGCCAGCTGTTCACCCTCGGACGAAGCAACTGCTGTTTGCGAGTTGCATCAAGTTGTCCATCAGGTGGTGTCTGGCAAAGAAAGAAAGGTTTTGAGAAGTCTACCAGTGATACCACCACCGCCATTAGCATCGCCAACACCAGGTACTACAGTTGTCGTTTTGATTCGGGGGGGGAGATCGCAAGAATACGGAGAGCTCGAAACCTCGAAACTGACTTTGGTTCGTGTCGGCGTGACGGCGAGGCGAAGCTGCGCGAATGCGAGAGAGATTCTGGCATAGTTTCTCTGCCCCCACTTGCGAACCCTACCTCTGCGGTCCAATCGACGCTGGGATATCGGACAACCTTGTAGGGGAATACTTGGCTGCAGACATTGTTTCAATGCTGACCCCCCGCAGGTGTTTCATAGAGCTTGCCTGCAGGAGTAGGGCTCACATGCGGCTGTCTGTAGCCAAGGGCATCTCGCGCAAGTTTGCTTCAACCACCCGCGTGCCCGGACCGTTGCTTCGGAGTTGCCCCGCGGATGCCACCACATAATTTGACCGGTTATGGATGAATGGCGGTTGGCGCGTAGCGATTGGATACATGGATCAGGGGTTGTGGGGTGAGATCGAAGTGGAACGGAGTCTCCGCCTGGAATCGAGTTAGCCAGGTTTCATTGGCGCTTGAATTGTAACTCTTCCAGGCCCCTCGTTCCTCACTCCTCCTTCCCACGTTTCGCCCTGTCCTCGGCGCCCCCGCGTCCCCCTGCAGCGCCCTCGCGGCGCTTTGCTGCAGGCCGTATGTCCGTATGTCCGTAATCGAGTCAGAACAGGTAGAAGAGCTCCAATAGTTTAAGGAATTCTTTACGCTTCGCGTATCCCCACCAGCCCATCTCACAACAGCAACTCTTGCGAAGCAGGCCGACAGTCGTGTTTTTCAGGCGTGTGTCCGCTTGCCCCCGCATATCTCCCCTGTTCCTCCTTCCTCCCGCCTCCTTGTACATCCTCCTTGTGGGGGGGAGCGGGAGAAGGACGAGGCGGAGGAGGAGGGAGAGAAAGCGCTCCTCGTGGTTTGAGTCGTTTGGGGTTTCTCGTCCTGGTGTGAGTCGTTCGGGCCCTTCTTCCTGGTGTGAGTCGTTCGGGCTCTTCGTGGTGTGAGTCGTTCGGGCTCTTCGTCCTGGTGTGAGTCGTTCGGGCTTCTCGTGGTGTGAGTTGTTCGGGCCCCTCATCCTGGTGTGAGTCGTTCGGGCCCCTCCTCCTGGTGTGACTCGTTCGGGCTCCTCGTGGTGTGAGTCGTTCGGGGCCCGCGTCGTGGTGTGAGTCGTTCGGGCTCCTCGTGGTGTGAGTCGTTCGGGCGCCTCGTCCTGGTGTGAGTCGTTCGGGCCCCTCCTTGTGGTGTGAGTCGTTCGGGCTCTTCGTGGTGTGAGTCGTTCGGGCCCCTCGTCCTGGTGTGAGTCGTTCGGGCTCCTCGTGGGGCCTCTTGGGGGCCTCTTGGAGGCTCTTGGGGCCTCTTGGGGGCCTCTTGGGGGCCTCTTGGGGGCCTCTTGGGGGCCTCTTGGGGCCTCTTGGGGGCCTCTTGGGGGCCTCTTGGGGGCCTCTTGGGGGCCTCTTGGGGGCCTCTTGGGGGCCTCTTGGGGGCCTCTTGGAGGCCTCTTGGGAGCCTCCTGGGGGCCTCTTGGGGCCAGCTTGGGGCCTCTTGCGACCTCCTCAGAAGCGCAAATGAGCGCTGCCCCCTGAGAAGGACAAAATGAGCCCAAAACCTTCGTAAAATCAATGATTTTGCTATGAAGGAAGAGGAGCGCTGCCCCCTCAGAAGGCCAAAATGGGGCCGAAACCGTAGTAAAATCAATGATTTTGGTTTCAAAGAAGAGGAGAGCATTTTTTCTGCCCCCCCCCGTCGGGGCCAGAATCCTCGTGAGGGGTGTCGTTTTTTAGCCCTCCCAGGAGTCGAAATTGACCCCCCTGACGACCCGCGGCCCCCCCTCTCCAGGCCCAGGGGGAGGGGGTAGGGGGAGGGGTAAACCCCTCCCCGAAGGGGAAGAAGGGGGGTTGAGGACAGAGAGAGCTCGCTAAACCACTCACGCCCAAAGGGCTGGTGGGATTACCGGCTTGGAGTAGATATATTGGTTAGGACGGTGAAGAGGCTACAGTCAAGACGCTGAAAGAAGGAACAGTTTGGGTTCGGAAGAGGCTCGATGTTCCTTAGGTTCCTCCAGTGCTGTTCCTCTCGCCCTCCTGGGGCACGGAGGCGCTTACAGGGCCAAGAAGGGGCTTCGTTCCTTATTTAGCGTTCCTTCTTTCAGCGGCCCGACTGTAGAAGAGTTGGATTATCTCGAAGGGTTGGAAAAGAGCTCCACGGTGTAGCGGAGCTTGCAGAGTTATCATCTATATTGTACAGCGGCGCAGTGTTGCATCACCTTGGGCTGGTCTTCACACGCATGCTTTTGTTTCATTCCCCCTTCCCTCAATTTCCCATCGGTGGCAAGGGGGAATGAGCTGTGGGATTCTCTTGGGCGATCGACACTGCGTTGCACCACCGAATTGTTCCGGCGACCCTTGACTGTAGCCAATATTAAGTGGGGGGCAGGGGGGAACGAACAACAGATACACATAGCAAACGCGACGCCCAATGTTGCAATCACCGTGTGATGCAACATTTGACCATGTACCGTGTAACACATACACATGTTGCCAATCCGATTCGGAGCTAATCGCGAACCGAAAACCGCATCCGCCAACCTGCTTGCTTATCACCCAAAGGGCGGTCTAGTAGGTAGTATTATCGCTGTGACCTACTCCTGCTCCCACACCCGCCACTACTAGACCACCGCTGTTGCTGAAAGCCGTGGGAAGACGACCAAAAAACTGAATAAGCGCACGCAGCGACGGCCACTGTACAGCTAGCAGTAACGGAAAGGACCGCAGTTCCAGACATATTACGCAAAAGAGTGCAGCGACAAATTTGTATGATATTCGGTGAAATTTACGTCAACCTGACCCCCTGCGCGCGAGGAAGTGAGGCCAACAATGGCGCTTCCTGCACCGTTTCCGGCGAATCAGGCGGCCCCGCTGGAAGATTCCCAAATTGGCGCTCTCCTTCGGGGCATCCTGACGAAATCGGCCCCTGGGGATCCCTGGGGGCCGATTTCGTGAGGTACCAGAACCAGGGGAAGAGAGGGAGAAGGGGAGCAGGAGGAAGCGGCCCTCCTGCAAAGAGTGCCACTGGGGAGCAAGACTGCAAGCATCAGGCTTCGGCGCGCCAGAAGTGTTGACGCCGGCACGTGTGGCAGAAATCGGTCGTTGCATGGTGGTGCGTCCCCGTTCGCTCGACTGGGTTCAACAACGAGCCACGGATTCCCCAAAATAGCCTTGGGGAGGGGAAAGGGGGGAATGGGAGTGGGAGAAAGTGGAGGACGGCGGGAGGAGGGAGGAGGGAAGTTGGGCGGGAGACCGGAACCAGAACCAGCACAAAGCACATTACATGTTTCGGCGTTGTGCTTCGCGTGGGTACCTGGAGCCTCCTGGCCGCCGGCACCGCGCGAGCCAGTGGTTGCGTCGGCCTTGTTTCCGAAGTGCCCCCCATCAGGTGAACGCAACCGTAGTTGCGATAGTCTGCTTCGGGTGTCGGCGCCAGGTCGTCAGTGACAGAATAGTAACTGGAGCTCGGTGGTGGTGTATGGACATATTCTGCGTAGGGGAGGGGCGAAGAGAACCTCCTGACAACGTTTCCGACCAATCCGACGAATCTGGCGGCCCTGGTGAATCCCGCAAGTCGGGCGCACGCTCAGTCTTCTGTATGCAGAAACTCCCGACCAACCGCAGGGCGTCCAGCTAGTACGCAGCATGACGATGGAGGTCAGAAGGGGGAGGGGCAAGGGACAGGGAGCCAGGAGCGGTGAGAGGAGGGGGGACAGGGGAGGAGTGAGATGGACGAGTGGCAGCGGAGAGTCGAGGCGAAGGGTCGGGCTGGGGTTGGGGAGGGGAGGGGAGGGTGAGGGGAGGGGAGGGGGACGGGGAGGGAGGGGGGACGGGGAGGCGATGAGAAGGGCGGTCGGGTAAGCAGTGGCAGCAGAAGGCAGCCAGGGCCTTGATGCTTCCGCCCGCCAGGGCCAGGGCAATTACGCCAGGAGCGGCAGCCGAAAGGACTACTCCAGTGGCCCCGGGCCTGCCTACCAGGCTGCGGATGAGGAAGAGGGGGGTGCATTGGGGGGGGGGGGGGGAGCTGGGGGAGAGGTGAGAGGAGTAATTATGAGGAGGAAGTGGAGGAGAGGAGGAGGAGGAGGAGGAGGAGGAGAGGAGGAGGAGGAGAGGAGGAGGAGGGAGGAGGGAAGGAGGAGAGAGGAGGAGGAGGAGAGAGAGGAGGAGGAGGAGGAGAAGCAAGAGGAGGAGCAGCAGGAGGAGGGAGGGAGGAGAGGAGGAGGAGGAGGAGGAGGAGGAGAGGAGGGTGAGGAGGGTGAGGGAGGAGGAGAGGAGGGAGGAGGAGGAGGAGGAGGAGGAGGAAGGAGGAGAGGAGGAGGAGGAGGAGGAGGAGGAGGAGGAGGAGGAGGAGGAGGAGGAGGAGGAGGAGGAGGAGGAGGAGGAGGAGGAGGAGAGGAGGAGGAGGAGGAGGAGGAGGAGGAGGAGAGGAGGAGAGGAGGAGGAGGAGAGGAGGAGGAGGAGGGAGGAGGAGGAGGAGGAGGAGGAGGAGGAGGAGGAGAGGAGGAGGAGGAGGAGGAGGAGGAGGAGGGAGGAGGAGGAGGAGGAGGAGGAGGAGGAGGAGGAGGAGGAGGAGGAGGAGGAGGAGGAGGAGGAGGATAGAATTCATCAGAGCTGTAGTGTATTCTCTCCCATGCACTGGGGTGGTCGTGCATGTGAGGCACATCGTTTGCATCTGGCAGGCTCTGGCTCTCGCTCGAGACATTCGCAAGGCGCGCGAGGAGGTCGGGCCCCACCGCGCCTCCAGGGACCATTTCTGGGGCGCGCGCTGGGGCGCGCTGGGCGTGTCCCAGCAGGACTCGCTCAAGACATCCTCGCAAAGTCGAGCCCCGGCGCGCGAGGAGGTCCGGCCCCACCGCGCCTCCAGGGACTATTTCTGGGGCTCGCGCCGGCGGGCACCGGGCGTGTCCAACCAGGGCTTTCGTTCGAGACATCCTTGCAAAGTCGACCCCGGGCGCGCGAGGAGGTCAGGCCCCACCGCGCCTCCAGGGACTATTTCAGGTGCGCGCGCCAGGGCGCCTCGCCCTCCTGATCCTCATGTTCATTCGCCTCTCGATCACCCTCCTCTCGCCCAGAAGCACACGCCCCTGCTTCTATATATATATATATATATATGCAGAAACTCCCGATCAATCGCAGGGCGGCCGGCTATTAAACCATATTGCAATAAACCTTCCCTCCAGTTCCATCTTCCTCCCCTCTTCATAGGCTACAGAGATTCATTGTCATTGAGGGGAGTACCCCATCGGAAGACAACCACTCGACAATCTTGAGCTGTGCCTGAACGCGCTTCCTTTCCTGGGACGTCAACGCCACGAAGCACCGTTAATTATTGTTGCGTCTGAACGATCCAGAATCGCACCAGAACGCCATTCCTGGGAATGCAGCACCGTGAATCAACGTAACTATTGCGCCCTGACCGTCCGACATCGTGCCATGACACCAGTTCAGGCACGTTCGCTATGATAATCTTTGAAACGGCTGAAAGCTCGGAAAACAAATTGGCGTGGCGCTAGGGCAAGAGCCACATTTTGAAAAGGAGCCGCCCTCCATCCGTAAAGCCCATGCGCCATTTTGAAAACCAGCCGCCCTCCATCCGTGAAGCTATCGCATATTTGAACATTGTGCGCGGCGCTACGGCGAGAGCCACATTTTGGAAACGACCCGCCCTCCATCTTTCAAGTTTTTGCACATGTTCCAAACATGTGCGCGGCGCTACGGCGAAAGCCACATTTCGGAAACGACCCGCCATCCATCCCTGAAGTTCTTGCATTTTGTAAGACGGATGTGCGCGGCGCTCAGGTGAGAGCCACATTTTGGAAGCGGCCCGCCTGCCATCCGTGAAGTGGTTGCAGTTATAGCTTCAGGATCATAAGTGGTGGCTTCGGGGTGCGACAGGGAGGAGTTATTTATAAGGAGAAGGAGTTCGACTGATCGAGATGGAGGATGTGGAGGCGGATGTGGAGTGCCCACTGCGTGAGAAGTACGGGGGATAGGACGATGAGGAGGAGGAGGATTGTTATGGTGATGTTGATGGTGCTGGTGATGGTGATGATGATGATGACGATGACGATGAGGATGATGGTGGTGGTGGTGGTGACGATGCTGTTCGACGATCGAGGGGAACAAAGATACATTGCCCAGTGGAGTTGTACGGCCGAGCTTTCCATCCACCAGTCAAGATTCGAAGCAGTTGCAGTTTGCCTTGTTGCCAGCTGTTGTGCCCAGATGTGGGCCATCATTTTGCAGAGATAGTATGAATGCGGTGGGGCTGCACCATATGTGTCTAGGCGAGCAGTTGCCATGCAAGCAACGTTTTGGGGGATTAAGGAGAGGTGCCTTATTGCATATGCGTAATAAGGAGTGTGCCCCAGCTGCTCGCACGCCAGCCCATAGGAAGTGGGATGCAATCGATGCGCTGCGAACTCCAGAAAGATGGATAGGCCAGGCGAACTGGCGGGCGGACATCGAGGTGAAGGGAGCTCTCGAACTTCATCCCAATGCCTCGGAAGAGTTCTGTCGGCAGCTGAAGAGTTCCATTGGGAACATTGAAGCGGTGGCGCGTCTCGTGGCGGCGACTTTACTGTGTTTACCGAGGGTGCCGCATCAGCGCCCACCGAAGCGCGAGCGACCGCGTAAGGTAGTGGCTGAAACGATAGGCTGGCGCGTCTGGATCCCGTTGGCTGTGGTGCCACAGATATGTCAGTTTGTTGTTGGGTTCGGAAAAAAAGAGAGAGGGATCCGCCCAGGACGGACGTCAGGTGGGCTGAAGAGGTCTCCCCAAACGTTTGAGCACTCTGCTGGCTGATGCCCCATGAACCGGGCACAAGCTAGCGAATACCCAGGTTGGCGATGATGATTTGCCATTTGTTATGCATGGGGTGTGGCAGCTGCACACAAGAGAACATCCGTAAGTTAGTTCGCAATGCAGACCTGACGTGCACAGTGGAGGCGCTAATGCCCTGACCAGGCTAAAGCGGGAATGGCACCTCACTCGTGACGTGCATGTCCCTTGTGCGGCGTAAACAAGCGTTCGCTTCAGGCCGCGAGGTTGGTGCGTATGCAGAGCTTCGATGCAGCAGCACATGTCTGCGCGAGCGACCCCTCTGGAGCGTCTTGCTGCTATCCGAGTTCGGATCGCCGAGAAGAGAAGGCAACGAGTCTAAAGGGGGGTTGTTCTGTTTTTGTTACTGGTTCGGCCGAAGGTGCCCCCCCCACCCCAAACGAAGAACGGTTCCGCTTGGGGGCTTCATCGGTGATCGTAGACGCCTCTTGGGCATGTGGAAGTGCTTCGCACATCACGTGGAAGAAGGAAACTCGAGGAAGGTGTGGAGAGCTTGCAAGGGGTGGAGGGGGGGGGCAGGGTGGCACGGTCGCGCGGTCGCACGGTCGGAGCTGTCCCCTGGGAGATCACGCCGGCGGGTGTACGGCACGACGACTGTTCGGCCTTCCATTTGGAGCAGCAGCGGTGCACGATGAGAGCAGCAGCAGCCGCAGGGCCGGAAGAGGGAGCAGACCGGCTACTCCAGGAAGGAGTTGACCGGCAGTATTCCACCGCGTTTGCCTAAGTTCATCAAGGGCAACGTTAGGGGTGATAGGCTCAGAGGGGACGCATCGACCCCCTGTCTCGCACTCCCATCGCCGAGATGGGTCCGATTGCCCATGCACTCCGCCAGGTAGCATGCGGATTCGCCATCGGGGACATATCGCCGATCTCTCGTTAATGTATCGCCGATCCCCCCCCTGAGCTGGTCCCGCCCTGCCGTTCTCCCTCGGCTCAATCTTAGGAGGGGAAGAAACCCACAGACACAATGAATCGTCTACTCCCAGGAGAATATGGGAAAATATGGGAAGTGGGGGGGAAGACGACAACCCAGAAAATATGGGACAATACGGGGAATCCTGGGATTTGTGTGTATTTGTTTGTGAGTCCCAGGGCCCCTTCACAATCAAGGGGGAATCTGATAGCACCTGGTGGTGATGACTAGTCGTTCGTTTCGTCCAAGGCGGCCCGCCAGCACGGGCCACTGCACGCCAAGCTGACGGCGCTTGTGCCGCCGAGTCTTCCGAGAACCATTTGCATTACGATCAAGGCGCGCCTGTCCCTCTAAAGGAGGAATATCCAAAGATAGTAAAAAAATAGTCGGGGGACGTTTTTTTGAGTATTTCCGAGCATTTTGGGGTACAAAGGTTTGGGGTCTTTTTTATGTTTCGCCCCCCGAGCTAGCATTACCCGACCGAGGTTCGTTGGCGCGCCGAGGGGGGACGCGATATATATATATATATATAGAGAGAGAGAGAGAGAGAGAGAGAGAGAGAGAGAGAGAGAGAGAGAGAGAGAGAGAGAGAACAGGCCGTCGCAAATGGGCGGCGGTGCTTCGGAGAAGGCGCAGACGTCTGTTGATAAGGTTGAGTCGGGCCTGTCCCTCTACAGGAGGATTATTCAAATATATAGAGTAAAACATAGCCTGGAGGCGTTTTTTTGAGTATTTCTGCCAATTGTTGTGATATGTTTTGACTAGTTTGTGTTTCTCGTCCACTTGTTTTTATTGTGGATGCGATCGTTGTTGTTATTCGTTGTTTTGCCGATCGGCGCGGGTTCCCCCCCCCTGGAGCAGATCTTGGCTGTTTTTTGGCGCCTGCTTCGAGCGGATGGAGGCTCCCCCAGGGGCAGCACTCTCGCAAGCAGTCGCACTGAGCAGAGGTCTGGAGCCAGACCCTCCCCTCCCCCCCCCCTTTCCGCCCAGTGTCGAAACGGCGCCGAATATTCAAAGCTCACAATGCATGCTGAGCCTTCTGAGAAGGCCTGCCCCCTCTGCCTTCCCCCCTGGGCGCGCCGCCGAGAGACCCACAATCTCGAGACCAGCGTGAACCACTAACTAGTTGGGGGCGACGAGTGGGACTCGACGATG